GCCCGGTGCACAAAAAACCCTCAGGGGATGACCACCTGCTGGCTTAGGCCCCCTCCCCAGAGGATTGGGCCTAAGCTGGCAGTCAGACATCCCTCTGGGAGCCCTCGAGGGATGTCCACTTGCCAGCGGGGAGCAGGCCTAAGCTGCAGGCAGACATCCTTAGCGCTGCTGAGGAGGCGGGAGAGGCTTCCACCACCACCCCTGTATTGGCAGCCGTCAGCCTGGCTTGTGGCTGAGCAGAGCTCCCCCTGTGGGAGTGCACAGACCACCAGGGGGCAGCTTCTGCATTGAGCGTCTGCTCCCTGGTGGTCAGTGTGTGTTATAATGACCAGTCATTCCCAGTCGTTCTGCTGTTAGGGTCAATTTGCATATTACCATTTTATTATATAAAAATTTTTTTTTCCTTTTTCTTGTTTTTCTTTCCTCCCATACCATTTTTTCTCTCTTTGATATCATTTGTGCTCTCTTTTCTCTCCCCTAATTCTTTTTCTCTGGTGGTCACTTATATGGAGTCATTGGTGTTGTGAGTACATTTGTGTTTTGTTCCCTTTGTGTTGTGTCTTGTCAAGGTGAATTTTATCCTGTTTGGCCAATGTGGTAGAGAGCGAGCCACATAACCAGACACCTGGAGAGGAGACTCCATCCACAAATGGGTCAAGAACACTCCAGACCTAACTACAGAGGCAGGAAGAAGGCAGCAGTGAGGGAGGGAGCGTGAGTGAGGGAGGGAGCAAAAGAGGAGTATGTGGATGTGTGTGTGTGTGTGTGTGTGTGTGTGTGTGTGTCACAGTTAGATCCTGCAGGACCTTCGGGAGCAGTGTGACCGGGCTTGCCTAACCAGGCAGTATCTGCTACTGCTACTGTTGCAAACAGTCATGGAGTAGCCAGCTCTTCCTCAGAGGCCTTACCTTTTTGAAGGGGAGAGCTTCTGTGACTGGGAGCACCTCCACCCAGGGTGCCCGAGATTATACCCAGGACTCTACATTTGTCAGGGACCTACTGCTACAGCTGTGGCCCCATGGTCACTGAGACTCCAGCCACCCAGGTCACTGGCTCCTGTGAGTTCTGAAACATGCTCCCATCTGACCAGCCCAACGTTTTAGCCCAGGCCACTGCAATCATGTGAGCAGCAGCCACATGAGCAACCCTCCCCAGTCCCAGGAGCAGCAGCCATACAAGCAGCCTGCCCCTGTCTGAAAAGCAGCAGCTCCGCGAGCAGCCCACCCTTGTCCAAGGAGCAGCACCTGCACGAGCAACACGCCCTTGTCCAAGGAGCAACAGCCACATGCAGCCCACCCCCATCTGAGGAGCAGCAGCCTTGTGAGCAGCCTGTCCTCGTCTGACGAGCAGCAGCTGCATGAGGAGCCTGCCCCCGCCAGCGAGCAGAGCCATCACTGCTGTGAGCAGTGCCTCCCAGAGGAGCCGCCGCCAACAGGGAAGCTACCACCGCAACCACCCAAGGAGCAGCCGCTGCCCAAAGAGCAGCCCCTGCATGACTCGACACATAAGTCCTTTGATGAGAGCAAAATTGGGGAGACAAAGAAACCCCCAAAAGAAAGAAAAGAAAGAATCGCCAGAAAAGCAGAAAAGTTAAAAGGAGGCATGCAATATGTCAGAAAAAGAATTCAGAATAAGGATTATAGAGTTCATAAACTGGATAGATGAAAAAATCAACAACTTATGTAAGAATCAAGAAGAAATAAAGAGTGATGGACCTGCAATAAAAAACACCATGGAAAGTTTAAACAGTAGACTAGGAGAAGCAGAGGACTGAATTAGCGAATTAGAAGACAGGGAAGCAAAACACACCCAAACTGAACTGCAATTGGAGAAAAAAATTAAAAGACAGGAGGAGAACCTAAGGAAGCTTTGGGACAAGATGAAACAAAGCAACATACGAATAATAGGGGTGCCAGAATGACAGGAAGAGGAACAAGGGTTAGAAAACCTATTTGAAGAAATAATGTCAGAAAACTTCCTTGATGTGGGGAAGAAAAAAGTCACACAAGCACAGAGAGTCCTAAACAAGATGAACCCAATAAGAACCACACGAAGACACATTGTAATTACAATGGCTAATGTTCAAGACAAAGAGAGAATCTTAAAGGCTGAAAGAGAGAGACGGAAAGTTACATACAATGGATCTCCCATTAGATTATCAAATGATTTCTCAACAGAAACACATCAGGCCAGAAAAGAATGGAAGGAAATTTACAAAGTGATGCAAAGCAAGGGACTGAATCTAAAAATACTCTATCCAGCAAGACTATCATTCAAAATTGAAGGGGAAATAAGGAGCTGCACAGACAAAAAAAAGCTAAAGGAGTTTATCACTACCAAGGCAGCAATGCAAGAAATGCTAAAGGGACTGGTGTAAAAAGAAGAAATAAAAAGTAAAGAAGGAACACAGTCACAAAAAATAAAAATGGCTACAAACAAGTACCTATCAATAATAACTTTAAACATAAATGGACTAAATCAAAAGACATCAAGTGGCTAAATGGATAAAAAAGACATGACCCATATATATGCTGTCTACAAGAGATCCACCTCAGAACAAGGGACTCACACAGACTGAAAGTGAAGGGATGGATAAATATCTTTCAGGCAAATGGAAATGAAAAAGAAAAAGCTGGGATAGCTGCCCTAGCTGGTTTAGCTCAATGGATAGAGCATTGGCCTGCGGACTGAAGGGTCCCAGGTTCGATTCCAGCCAAGGGCACATGCCTGGGTTGCGGGCTCAATCCCCAGTAGGGGGGTGCAGGAGGAAGCCAATCAATGATTCTCTCTCATCATTGATGTTTCTATCTCTCTCCCTCTCCCTTCCTCTCTAAAATCAATAAAATATATATTTTTTAAAAAGCTGGGATAGCAATACTTATATCTGACAAAATAGACCTCAAAGTGAAGGCCATAAGAAGAGATAAGGAAGGTCACTTCATAATACTAAAGAGATTGATACAACAAGAGGATATAACCCTGATAAACATATATGCACCTAATGCAGGAGCACCCAAATACATTTAAAAAGTCCTGGAAGATATCAAGGGAGAGATCAGCAGCAATATGATCATAGTAGGGGACTTTAATACCCTACTGACATCACTGGATAAATTCTCTAGACAAAAAATCAGCAAAGAAACAGCAATCCTAAATGACTCACTAGATCAGATGGACTTAATTGACATCTTCAGAACATTTCACCCCAAAGCCACAGAATATACATTCTTCTCAAGTGCACATGGGACATTTTCAAAGATAGACCACATATTAGGTCACAGGCAAAGTCTCTCCAAATTCAAGAAGATTGAAATCATATCAAGCATCTTCTCAGACCATAATGGCATAATATTAGAAATAAAATATAATAAAAACAATCAAAAATTCAAGCACTTTGAATCTGAATAGCATGTTATTAAACAATGATTGGGTTACCAAAGAGATCAAAGAAGAAATTAAAAACATCCTGGAAACGAATGACAATGAAAACACAACAGTCCAAAATCTATAGGACATAGTGAAAGCAGTCCTAAGAGGAAAGTGTATAGCTCTACAGGCCTACCTCAAAAAAAAAACAAACAAAAAAAAAAACCATGAAAGAAATGGGTAATAAACCATTTAACTCTACAACTTAAAGAATTAGAAAGAGAGCAACAAGAAAATCCCAGAGTGACCAGAAGGAAGGAGATAATAAAGATCAGAGCAGAAATAAATGACATAGAGACCAAAAAAACCCAAAACAAAACAACAAAACACAATACAAAAGATCAATGAAAACAAGAGCTGGTTCTTGGAAAGGATAAACAAGATTGATGAACCTCTAGCCAGGCTCACCAAGAAACAAAGAGAGAGGACCCAAATAAACAAAATCATAAATGAAAGAGGCAAAATAACAACAGACCCCACAGAAATACAAAGGATTGTTAAAAAATACTATGAACAGCTGTACTCCAACAAACTAGACAATCTGGAGGAAATGGACATATTCCTAGAAAAATACAACATTCCAAAACTCAATCAAGAAGAATCTAAAAATCTCAATAGGCCGATATCTATGGAGGAAATTGAAGCAGTCATCAAAAAGCTTCCAGCAAACAAAAGCCTGGGCCAGATGGCTTCACAGGTGAGTTTTACCAAACATTCAAGGAAGAACTAAAACCTATCCTACTCATACTATTCCAAAAAAATTCAAGACGAAGGAACACTTCCAAACTCATTCTATGAAGCCACCATTACCCTAATACTAAAACAAGATAAAGACAACACAATGAAAGAGAATTACAGCAAATATCCCTCATGAACATAGATGCCAAAATCCTCAACAAAATTCTAGCAAATCAGATCCAGCAGAACATCAGAAAGATTATATACCATGACCAAGTAGGATTTATCCCAAGGATGCAAGGATGGTACAATATCCACAAATCAATAAACGTGATACATCACATAAACAAACTGAGAGCTAAAAATCACATAATCATATCAATTGATGCAGAAAAAGCATTAGACAAAATCCAAAACCCTTTCTTGATAAAAACCCTCAGCAAAATGGGAATAGAGGGATCATACCTCAACATAATAAAAGCCTTATATGACAAACCTACAGCCAACATCATACTCAATGGGCAAAAACTAACACCATTTACCTAAGAACAAGAACAATACAGGGATGTCCACTTTCACCACTCTTGTTTGACATAGTTCTGGAAGTGCTAGCCATAGTGATCAGAAAGAAGAGGGAATAAAAGGCATCCAAATTGGAAAAGAAGACTTAAAACTGACATTATTCGCAGATGACATGATACTGTAGATAGAAAACACTAAAGACTCCATCAAAAGATTATTACACTTAATAAATGAATTCGGCAATGTAGAAGGATACAAAATTAATGCCAAGAAATCTATGGCATTTTTAAACACCAATAGTGAATTTACAGAAAGACAGACTAAAAAAAAAATCCCGTTTACCATCGCACCAAAATAATTAAGATACCTAGGAATAAAATTTACTAAGGAAGTAAAAGACCTGTACTCGGGAAATTACAGTACTTTGAAAAAAGAGATAGAGGAAGACATAAACAGATGGAAGAACATACCGTGTCCATGGATTGGTAGAATCAACATCATTAAAAAGTCCATACTACCCAAAGCAATCTATAGATTCAATGCACTCCCCATTAAAATACCAATGGCATATTTCACAGACCTAGAACGAACTCCCCCAAAATTCATCTGGAATAAAAAAAGACCCCGAATAGCTGCAGCAATCCTGAGAAAGAAGAACAAAGTAGGAGGGATCTCAATACCAGATTTCAAGCTGTATTGCAAAGCCACTGTTCTCAAAACAGTCTGGTACTGGCACAAGAACAGACATATAGATCAATGGAATAGAATAGAGAACCCAGAAATCGGTCCAAACAACTAAGCTCAATTAATATTTGACAAAGGAGGCAAGAACATACAATGGAATCAAGATAGTCTCTTCAATAAATGGTGTTGGGAAAATTGGTCAGATACTTGCAAAAAAAATGACACTAGACCACCAAGTTACACCATACACAAAAATAAACTCAAAATGGATAAAGGACTTAAACATAAGATGGGAAAACATAAAAATACTAGAGGAATCCACAGGCAGCAAAATCTCAGACATATGCCGAAGCAATATCTCCATCAATACAGCTCCCAGGGCAATGGAAACTGAAGAGAAAATAAACAAATGGGACGACATCAAAATAAAAATCTTCTGTACAGCAAAAGGAACCATCAACAAAACAACAAGAAAGCTCACTGCGTGGGAGAACTTATTTGCCAATGTTATCTCTGATAAGGATTTAATCTACAACATTTACAGAGAACTCATACAACTTAACAAAA